GTTAAATAATACTTCTATAGATCTATTTGTCATTTTTAGAAAGAAAAGCAAAATGATTTAATAGATCTATAGAAGTATTATTTAACTAGAATATTTACTGAGCAAATCTTATCATTGAGTTTATCAATAAAAGCAATAACCAACGGACTAAAAATAAATGAAATCCTTGAATTATCTCTATGAAAAAAAACATATTAGCTGCTTCACCTTAGATTTGGTTCATTTTTCAGTTGTTCACGAAATGCTTCAAGTTCAGTAATAACTCGTTGAAGAACAAATCGTGGTGTTTGAATATTTCTACGACGTCGTTCAATTTGTTGCTCAATAAATTGATCAAATGCATCAGATATTCTCCGTACCTATAAATAAGGAATTAAGCTTTACAAAACATCTTCAGCAGCTAAAGAAATTAGGGCGAAGACCAGAAGTAAGAAAAGCTTTATTAATACAATAACTTAGAAAAGCAATAGCTTTTTACTTAGCATTCAGCAAAAATTACTCGATATATAAATTAGAGCTTAAATAAAATATTTTACACGAATAAGATAAGCTTCAGCATCATTTAGTTTTAATATTCGATGAAATTTTGTAATAATTGATATTATTTCTGATTGAGCACCCATCATTTGATTTATTAAATAACCATGATAAGAAAATTCGTCACTGTTTTCTCTCTTGGCATTTATATTTATAAAATATTCCATAACTTCATACGATTCTCTTTCATTAACTGACATTTTTTTATTTTTAAACGATTGAAGATAATGTAATTGTATTTGCATTTTTTTATTTTCATATTCATTGTATGCAACTGAATAATCATTTAATTGAGTATTAAATAAATCCAAACCACTATAGAGAAAAATAATGAATTTATTTTTTTATTTAAAAATAATACAAACAGTGGTCGAAGTTGAGATAATAATTCAGGTTTTTCCAATAAATACTCAAAGAAAAATCTAATAAAATAATTTTGATTTGTTAATTAAAAAATCTATTATTACCTTGCATATAATATACTCAGATTAATTGGAAGAAAATAAGCATTTTTTATAATAAATATAGACCAAAGAATAATGATTATTAATGTTAAATAAAAATTAAATAAAAAGAAAAATAGAATCGGTATTAAACATAAAAAACATGTTATTGCTAATTTTAATTGTTGCCAACGCCAGGAATTTGGAATTAGTGACATGGATTAGTTGTTATTTATTTGATCAAGTTCTCTTGTTTCTTTTTGCTTGTCAATGTTTACTACTTGATTCTATATAATTATTTGACTGATGAGTAATAGATTGAATACACCTTATCAAATGAAAACTAAAGCAAAGAAGAGGGCGTCACTAAACAAACCAAACCAAACTTAAAATAGGTGATGTCATGTATAGGTTTACGCCGCCTTGGCCTTATCTAATCTATTTTCATTTTAATTCTTTTGAATAAGACGCATGCACTCACTAGTATTTGTCAGACAACACACGTAAGGCATAGCACAATAATATTCAACACTTAGTTTAATATTAATTTTCTACGATTTTTCATTATATTGAAGTAGAATAGAATGAGAATTTTATAACAATATAGAGTATGCAATAAATAAAGTTTGATATTTTAGAATCATCGAATAGCAGTACAGTTCTATTCATAAAAAAAACAAGTCAGATTCGATGGCATCATCTGACAGTCTTCGGCAACCTTTAATTAAGACCGAATATGAACCTGTTAGTTCGTCACAAAAACTTAATTTATTAATTCAACGTTCTGTTCGTTATTCATATCGACAAAGATGTTGTAAATGTTGTCCAACTGTACTTTTCGAACTTTTGTTTCCAACTATTTTAATAATATTACTTCTGTTAACACGATATGGAATCAATCAATTAGCTGCACAGACAGAAACTGATGATGGAACTTTACCTGGTACTTTCACTCAACATCCATGTTCACAAAATATAACTACTCTACCAACTTCATCAAACGATATATTTACTAGATGTTTTAAATTTCCACCAAGTTATCGTGGTAGTAGTTTCGGTTCATCTGAACCATATGAAGTATCCAATTTAACAAATATTGTTTTTGAACCGGACACACCTGATGTTCAAGAACTTGTTAAACTTGCCAGTATGCGTCTTCTTACAATGAGATGTGATCAAACAGCAAAAGTTTTGTAAGTTAATGTGTATAAAATATAAATAAAATAATAATCATCGTTTCTTTTATATTTTAGGAGTAAAAATCGAAATGATGAAGAAGACATACATTTATTACAGAATAAAACTGTAAATACAGTTATAGTCGATTTTAGTGCAACATCTGATCTAAAACACGAAAAAAATCTTGTTTGTAAGTTCACCTATTTATAAATCTTTAATTATTCTTACATCTCTCTTTAGACAATATTATGGTACGAATACCAAATACATTCTTGAAAAATGATCCTGTTGATATGTCATTTGTTGCATATAAACATCCAAGTAGATAATCAATATTCATTTTTTTGTTTCTTCGGATACATATGATTTTCAAATATTTAGGTTATATTCCTGATCGATCAAATGCTACATCAAATGATGGTAAAATGGGATCAGATTTACCGGAATTTACTGATGTTAAAATATTTGTTGATTCATTATTAATGGGATATCAAAAAGATCGTCAAATTCAATATGAACTTGAACGAAAAGTTATGACTTGTACACCATCTCGAAATGATTATCTTTATAGTAAAATAGACAACAATTTTTCCATATATATTTTCTTGTTATTTTTTCTCTTTAGCATCTATATCCAATTTTATCGGTACGGTTCTATTACTGATGGATGCTATATTTATTATTCCGTAAGTCAAAGAAAAATAAATTAATCTTATTTTATTTTTGTTATATCTAGATATTTAATTCTTTTAACGAGTTCAATTCGAGAGAAAAATGCAAAAGTTAAAGAAATTCTTAAAGTTCTTGGTATTGAACCTATTCTTAATAATATTGCACAAGCACTTCGGTAAATCGAATAAAATAAACAGAATTTCAGTTTTTTTAATATTCTATTTTAGAACAATGGTAATTTATGTCATTTTAATTCTATTTTTATGCATTGCATGTAAAATAAAATTAAAACCAGAAGCATATTTCGATACAGTTAATTTTGGTACTCTATTTCTTGGTTATCTTATGTATGCTTTACAATTAGTAGCATTCTGTACTATGAATGCACAAATGTTTAATACGAATGTTCGTGCAATTGTTTTTACTTTTATTATATATTTTATATCAAATAATATCTATGCATTGGCAATGTCATGGCCATCAGGTTTACAATATATTCTAATATTTTTTTGTCCTTATGTCGGTGGACGTTCACTTTTTCAAGTAAGACATATATTTGTAAAAAGATTATATTTTTAATGTATTTTTCTTGTTTTATATAGCAAGCAGTATTGTATGATCTAGCAAAAAAAGATGTAGCTTTATTTAGAACTGTTTATCGGCATGTACCAGTATATTTTTCAACATTAACTGTAATGATTCTTAGTTGTTTTTTCTATTGGGGATTATCATGGTATCTCGAAAAAGTCTTTCCAGGTAATTAAATTCCAGTTTTATTGATTCGACAAAATTAGTTTCTATTCATTTGTAAATTTTAGGTGAATATGGAGTTCCACTTGAATGGAATTTTCTATTTAAACGAGAGTATTGGCGTAAAACAGCTGGTCCAAATCAAGTATATTCTTATGATAATCATGCATCGACAATCTCAAGATCTAGTACACCACTTGTACGAACAAATTCTACTAATACACCTGTTGTTCATGTTGATCATCTTGTGAAAAAATTTGGTCCA